AGGTAAACCCACCAGCTCCCCTTCCTGGCACGCTGCCTGTTTTTCTGGATCTGGTGTTGGTGTGTGAAATGCATGCTGATATTTTTATTTTCCTGGATTGCCTTCGGCTTGTAGCGAGGTCACGTTGGTGGCTGTTGGCGGTGGATGCCTAGTCCTTGGGCCTTCCTGGGCGGTCTTTCATGTTCCCTTTGTATCTGAGGCAGCTTCCGGTGAGAGCCTGGTGTTTGTGGCGTAGGTGATTAATTTGCTGTATATGTCTGCGGAGTTAACATCTTAGTTCCCCCCCTTTATTTTCTTTGAAGAACGGACATCTACTGAGCAGACCTGGTCGTTCCTTGTAGGGGGATGCGGTCCGGTCCCAGTAGGGTCCCTTCCGGGTCTTGGGGTCCATGCTCTCAGGGGGCGCCCCCTGTTGTCTGTGGGGGCTCCAAACCGCCGCGGGTCGGCTTCAGCTTAGGCCCCGTTTATGAAATTGTAGCCGTTACCAGCATGGCAGGGCATTCATGGGAAAATCGAATGGTGCAGATGGCAAAATCGAGGCGCTCTTTGCGGGAAGAAAGCCATCAAGTTCTTATCGTTTAACAAAACAACCTTGTTGGCCACCCACAATTCTGGTCTGTTTCTGAGACCAAATTAATGTTTAGCCTTTAAGGTTCTGTAAGGAGAAAATTGTACATCCGAATTGTTTGGTTCTGGTCTTTTTAATAGTAAGCCATACTGTCAGAAACCTGAATGTGCGCGTTTTATTGCAAACATGGTGAGCGCAGGGTTCAAGCTTGGTGTGTTATAGTGGACTTGAGGTAAATGTTATTGTCTTGTATAGAGATCTTGGATTGCCATGATTGAGTGTTGTTGTTTCAGTGGCATTAAACCTGAACAGCTGAAAATTATTCCTTTGATTATTTACCTTGAAATACAGTAGATATTAAACAAGATATTAAGTAAGATACTTACTTGAGTTTTAGTCTGGAAATTTCCATGGTGGTGGCAGGCCTTCTGTGAATTGGTGTCAAGAGTGGACCAAGCCCCATTTCTGATAAAATCAGATAAACCGGGTGAGATTCCGCCGTCCAGCGGGCTTTGTGTGTGTGACTCACATAGGATGGCTAATTACGAAACTTTTCATGTCCATTGTAAGAATTTTTTTTTTAATTGAGAGAGAAAAATACGATTTGTTGTTCTGCTTGCTTAGGCATTCATTGGTTGATTCTTGTATGTGCCCTGGCCGGAGATGGACCCCCAAACCTTGGCATGTGGGACGGTGCTCGAACCAACTGAGCTGCCTGGGCAGGGCCTCAGTTCAGAATGTTAAGAGGGGCAGATAGGTGGGTAAAGTCTAGCAAGTATTTCATGAGCAATGTTTTCTGTGGCTGTCTTACAGGTACACCAGGGGTTGGGAAAACCACACTAGGCAAAGAACTTGCTGCAAGATCGGGACTGAAATACGTTAATGTGGGTGATTTAGCTCGAGAAGGTAAGGGACATTTTGGTGTTAAATTTGTTTTTAAAAAGAGAGAAATAATAGAGTATTAGTACTGTCCTGTGAGAAGAGACAAAAAGCAGAGAAAGATAGCTATTAAGGAATTTATGTTCTTTTTAAAATTGAAATTATTATTAAGTATCTAAAGCTGTGTCTCGGTTACTTTGACTGTTACATTGCCTCCCCCACAATTTCCTGGCAGTTCTTACAGATAATAATAATTGGGAAGGTCATGAAGAGAGTGATTGGACTTAGGATAGGTAGAATCTGAATGTAAGGAAGAGGAAGAATGTTTTTTGTTTGTTTTTGTTTTTAATATATTTTTAAAATTGATTTCAGAGAGGAAGTGAGAGAGAGGGAGAGAGAGAAATGTCAATGAGGATCAAGCCCACAACCGACCCCATGTGCCTGACTGGGAATGGAACTGTGATCTCCTGGTTCCTAGGTTGATGCTCAACAACTGAGCCACTGTCCAGGGCCGAGGGAGAATGTTTTGAGATGGGTGAACACATAAAGGTTGGGGTGGTGCTAAGCATATCTGTGGAGACAGTGATTATATTGATCTCACTGGAAGAAAAGATTATTCTGAACTCAGGCAATAGAACATGACTGTCCTGTGGTATTTGCTTAGAGTAATTTGATAGTTGCTTGTCTGCATGAAACTGTACATACGCTAAAATGATACATGTTTTTACTTATTTTACCCAGTTTCTCTTCAATCTTTGTCACTTTGTTATTGTCTTTAACTTTTTATATTCTGTAATGATTAGTACAGGTAGAAACTCAAATAAATTCAAGTAAAGGGAACTTTAAGTGTGCCTCATTAAAATTAAAAAGATTTAACTTATATCTTTAAAATATATATTTTTAAACATACGACATTTTAAATTTTTTAAGTTCCTGACAGTTGCTACTTAAAGTAACTATTTCAGGTTTGATCTAATGTACATATTTTTTTCAAATGATCTAAAGTCTGATCACCGGATATCATGGACTCTGGCAAGATGGCTTCTCCCAAGAGCATGCCGAAAGATGCACAGATGATGGCACAAATCCTGAAGGATATGGGGATTACAGAATATGAGCCAAGAGTTATAAATCAGATGTTGGAGTTTGCCTTCCGATATGTGACCACAATTCTAGATGATGCAAAAATTTATTCAAGCCATGCTAAGAAAGCTACTGTTGATGCAGATGATGTGCGATTGGCAATCCAGTGTCGTGCTGACCAGTCTTTTACCTCTCCTCC